CTTCGTCCCAGGTGTCATTAACTACTTGGGTAATGTAGTCGATCCAACGGCGGTCTGCGGCTGACAGAGCCAGGGCGTTCTTGAGCGAGGAGGATGTGACATTGACGGTGTGCTCGTCGAGATTGATTAAAATATCGCTGTAACGGTCCCTCTGCTGTAAGAGGAGTGAATTCGTGCTGCCCACAATGTATGACTTGGTGCCAAAGTCGGCGAGTATATCAAGTTGCTGTAGAGGGGTGTATGGGCCAAACAGACTACCCTGTTGATGTCGTCAGTGTCAGAACTATTGACATGGCAACAACAAACCTACCTTGCCGAAAATCTGCAGGGGCAAGCCCATGTAAGTGAGCAAAGAGTTGCGATCGCTGGTTCGCAAGCTCGTGGGCCGCGCCAACCTCTTCTCGTAGTTGTTCAGCTCCGGGTCGGCGCAGTCAACGAGATTACGGATAAGTCCGGGTATCAGAGAAATAAGAGAAAACTGCATCATGCATAACCTTTCACATCGTGATCCGAAAAAAAGCATCTATGCTCATCGGTCAGCTTCCATCAACCTACCCTTTTGCAGGTCTACCACTTGATCGGGAGAAAACGCACCTTCGGCTGCAGCAAACAGCATTTGAACAGCATCAGCGTCTGTGACTTGAACTCATGCACCAGCTCACGCAAGCTCATGCCGAGGTACTGGTCGCGGCTCTCCTCCTCCGTCAAGAACCCGCGCTCCTTCTCCTCGGCCAGACTTTCCTGGAAGCGGCGGAGAATCTCCGTGTCGGTGAACTCGCGCTGCGCGAACCAGGCCTGCGTGACGACGCTGAGACGCTCGCGCATCATGCCAAAGTGCTGCGGCGTGTCGGCGATGACGACGACGGCTTTCTGGACCGTCGAGCGCGTGACGTCGGCGGGCCGGTTAAGGAGCTGCGAGGCATCGAGCTGCCGTGTACAGGATATGCCGAACAGGGACGTCGCAGGCCCCGTGGCGGTGGCCGGACGGAGGAGCGTAAAGTAGGAGAAATCCTCGCTTGATCTGGTCCGAGTCGTCAGCTTCTGTTCCAGCTCTGAGACGAAGATAGCAGCCGGGGTCCGAGGCAGAGCTCCCAGTCACCATCTGCGTCAGAGTGAACACGGGTCAATACTCACAAGTGCGCACCGTCGCTCAACGCCATGAAGGGCAGCAAGCCCCAGTCATACTCGACTGCTGGATCTGTACCCTCCGCCGCGCCAAACCACATCTCAACTTCGGGTCCGCGGGCATGGTGGAAGTCGACAACCGTGACCAGCGGAATGAAATCTGGCTTAGCCGGCGTTGACGGCACCGTCAAGGGCGTAGCGGCGCCAGACGTCGGCGTCGCAACCTCGGGAGTATCCATGTTTCCCTCCTTTTTATCAGGTCTGCCTCTCTTTCTGGGTGATGCCTCTCACCGACGAGGGGTGGACGAGCGTCGAAACTGGTGTTTGCGTAAGAAACCAGGTGTGTGCTACTTCAGAAACCCGCCCAATTCCTTTTCCTTCGCGAATCCCTCAATCTGTGTTTGTAATTCGACTTCTTTGGCGCAATCAGGCCACTCCTACGACATTGCCATGTATTTCCTCAGTTCCTGATCTTGATTCTTTCTTCTCCTCCGCTTGTCCTCCTCGCGTTCGTCGCACGTTTCGTCCGACGTTTGCTTGCGTGAATCAATCCTTTTCAGGGTACCGATTGCCGCTTCGCTGGCAAAGCCTCGCGATGGGAGGAGGTCTTTTTTTTTGTCGGCGTCGAGATTCCCGGGGCGGGCGCGCGAAGTTCGTCTTTGTGGTAAACTACCTAGTTCGACCCCCAGAAAAGTCGAGGAGGGGTTGCGGGTTCTGTTCTGACGTAGTATCGAGATTTCCCCGTCCACTCAAAGGGGAGCTAATGTGAGACAAGCTGCCGGGAGAGTTGATCTGCACAAGTCTCCAAGAGAGCAATTGGCGGGCTTCGGTTATCGTCTTCTATACGAAGAATTGGTCGTCAAGAGAAGTGTGACACACACTCTCTCTCTGGGCCGTAGAATTATGTAGGGAAAGATAGGGCGTCCGCTTTGTATACCGCCTGGTCTTCGTCCCTCCTCGAAAATCGACCGGCAAGCTACCTGCCGGCGTCGCCAAGCAGAACTCGCAGAAAGCGGTGACAGGTTCGTCCCTCTCGAAAGAAGCGCGGTCGCGGGTGCGCGAATGGGGGCGTACGTGAGACTATGAGCTGGGAAAATCGGGTTGCTCCGCTGTGCAGTTTGCCTCGGTGATTCGACCGCCGCCTCGTACTTGCACTGGCGAATTAGGGTCCTGGGAAGGGGACGTTTGGTAGCAGCCGTAAGAACGTAGCGGTCGGTGGAGAAGGCCTTGCTAACACGAAGTGTCGAATGGCAGTAATAGCACAGAAAGGGACAATTCGCCGCCTCCTTGCTTGGGGTGAGGAAAGCTGAAGGCAAAGGAAGACGTGAGTGGCAGACCGACAAGCGGAGGAGGGTAAAAGTTAAGGAAGATGGAAACCCGAGAGCTGAGGGGATAGAGAGACTCGAATGGCTCGCCCACCACACACAGCACGGTTGTTCGCGGTGTGGGTTCGCGGTAGGCTTTGTATTGGACCGGAGGCGGGCAACGGTTCAAAATGAGACTGGGTTCGGGAGAGTGGGCATTGTGGATGAGTTGTTGGAATTAGTGCTAATGCACTACGGCAAAAAAGTATAGTAAAATACTTTATTATTACTTCCAGTCCAGTCTTTCCACTCTCATTGTAATTTCCTTGCCGTCCTGGCCCTCGATTCTCATTTGCTCATCTGGCTTCTCTGATTTTATTTTCTGCTCGCGTTTTATGAGAACGCTCTCATGCGGACACGGGACCCCTTAAAATAGAGCCAAGTGTGTACCAGAGGTCCAGACAAGTCAATTGTCGGGGATGGGTTGCAATTAAAAACGAACGACTCGTCCCACATTGAAAGAAAGCACGACAGGTTCAGGGGTTGGAGGTTCCAGCGATGTTCGAGAACAATGGGGGGGAGGAGGGGAAAAGAAAAATAGCCAGAACACGGGCTCAAGGGGGAAAAAGGCGACTACGGTAACCCCGCGTGGCCCCGGTTCGAGAAATGCCACTCCAAGTGTACGTAGCAAGATACGTTACTCTTTTGGAAATGCACGCTGTCACGCACACGCAGACATATGTACTCAGCATCGTGACAAGTATATACTGATTGAAATTTGATTGCCATCTTGAATCGTTCTTTGACATTCTGCTACAGCCACAAAGTCTGGCTGGGAAACTCACAAGTCTTAGCATCGCGGAGACATCCAACACCCCTCGCTCTAAGTGGATATCATCGTCAGTCCTTGCTTGTCACAACAGATAAACCACGACGACAACATCAAACTGTTTCTCACCAAGAACAAAGTAGCCAAGCAGACTGTGTAGACACTCGTTATCTACCAGACTTTCAACATCCATCTCAAAACCTCCCGCGTCCCCTAACCAGCCTAGCGCCAAGCGCCGGACATCGAAGTCTGTGGTCCGGTCGTGTGGTCCACCACAGACACGTCAACCATGCACCGATGGGAAAAAGCACCGACCACGTCTCCATGGCACGTCCCATCAATCAATCGATCACGATTTCACAACTCACCACTTTGCTTCTTCCCGCTACTTCGGTTCCCGTGCTACCCCTTCTCAAGACGACCTCACTTTGAACCGTGTGTGTGGTGTACCGGTATTACCTCAACTCTCCGACCACGACAGATAAACGGTGAGAGAAAGGTGGTGTGAACAACGTGCCAAAGAAGCCAAACTTTGAGCCTGCAAATCAATAAACCTTTTTTTTTGCCCCAGCAACATCGCAAAAGCCACCCATAAGGCGTAGGTACTCAACTGAAAACAACCCGGAGTCAACTCCTAGTCTCCTACCGATGAACCCAGTACATGACTGACTACCTCGGCGGAAGCGACCAAAAAGTCGGAGAGGCAAAAACACCACGTCAACCCTTCCCTCCCTTACCGGAAACCCCAAACCTCATCTCACCTTAACCTCAAGCACCGCCAGCGTGTCCTGCATTGCATGAGATGGGATTTCTCCTCCTCCTCCTCTCTCCTGTCAAATCACCATCCCCCACCACCTTCTCACCGCGCGGAGTGTGCCGCCCGCCCGCCCCTTGAATCTCACCTTAGGTGTCACTCACCTATTTCTCCTTCTGACTATCATGGAATGATTTTCCTTGCAGTCAACGTAAATGTCACAGTGAAACTTATCGAGATAGAGTTCCGCTCCGTATGACCATCCTAACTGCAACGAATTGTGGCAAAATGGCAGCCACACTCTCGTATCATGTGGCTGAGGCCACACAGTAAGCCACACGTCCCGTGGCGGTGGTCTGTACGTTCCTAGTACTCAACCACACCTCAAGCCACAATCGTCTCCGAGTAGGTACCCTCTTGGGATCATCATCCGTTTGGGTCGCTTTGGTTGTCGTTAGGTAGAGGTAGATCACAAGCCTTGGCTATCCCTGAAGGATTTCTTTTTTTTCTCTTTCTTTTCGTTCTCTTCAGTTGCGATCTGCCAAGTCATTTTCTGCTATTACGCCCGAATTCATCCATACCTCCAATTTGCAAAGGGCATCCCATATTCAAGTATCCCGGAGAGCGGCCGTCATCCTGGTTGGTAAAGCAAGTCCTCGTAATCGGGGCCTCGAAGCCCATTGTCAGCTTGTCGCTATGCCCTATGCCGCGGACTTTATTCTAACAGAACCTGGAGATCCAGGAAAAGGAAACATTTGTTGGAACAAGATGATGAAAAAGAGAAAAACACCTCCAAGATGCATGCCATTCCTTTATATCGCGTATACTGTTGGCCCTTTGCATTGTCAACGTTACAATAACCGATCCCCTCTTCCGAACACCATGATTGCGTGCGAATGTACTGGAAACACGTGCCGTTCTGGTTTTGCGTGGTATCATAGCCCCCCCTTCTCCTATTTATCCTCGCTCCGCCCCTGAACTCCCTCATCTATTGTGCGTTAAACTGCTCTTCCATCTGTTGCGCAGACGCATCCACGTTGTGGTAGTCGAGTATCTCGGAGTACCTGCAAAGAGTACTTCGTTAGCAAGTCCTTCATGAAAACCTTAATGATAGTGGCTTACATCATGATCTTCCACGTGTCTACGGGCAAATCAGCATCGTTGAAACTCCAGTCGAACTTCTCCTCGGCGACGGGCTCGTCAGAGGGGTCGTGGTAGGGAGCAAGGTAGTCGTGCGAGAGCGCCTCAGTCGCCGTTATCCGCTTCTTGGGATCAAAGACCAGCATTCTCTCCAAGAGGTCAATGGCGGAGGGGTCGGCGTTCTTGAACTTGTTCTTCAAGGGTTGCCTTTCGCGCTTGGGCAGGGACTTGACGAATCGGAGGGTCTAGGTCCGTGTCAGTAGGCAAACTAATCATCGCTTCGGCTCTGCATCAACTCACGTTTTCACTGGCAATGCCGTTGATGACATCGTCGGGAGGAGTACCGAGAAGCTCGGTGATAATGGAGAACTGGTTGACGTGGTCCTTGCCGGGGAACAGAGGCTTGCCCTCCAACATCTCGGCGAAAATGCATCCCGCACTCCAGATGTCGACCTCAACGTCGTACTTTTGCCATGTGAGCATGATCTCGGGAGCGCGGTAATATCTCGTCGAGACGTAACCAGTCATCTGGGGGTCCTGAATACGGGCGAGACCGAAGTCGCAAATCTTCAAGTCGCAGTTCTCGTTGACGAGAATGTTGCTGGGCTTCAAATCACGGTGGACTACACCAGCAGAGTGGACGTATTTCAGGCCGCGCTGTAAACCATGTCAATTCGGGTGTCGGAGAGGATTCCGGTGAGGGGGCGGGGCTTACCATGATCTGGTAAAGGAAATACTGAATGAACTGCTTTTCGAGAGGTCTGGAGGTGAGCAGTCTGTGCAAGTCGGTGCCGAGAAGCTCTGTGACGAAGTAGATGTCCTCAAGAGGGGAAATGAAGATATCACTGAGAGAGATGACCTAGGTGGATATCAGCGCACGTCGACTAGACTGATTATGAAGAGAGGCAGGCAAAGGCGGGACCAAACGTACGTTCTCATGTCTCAAGTGCTTGAGCAGCTTCAGCTCACGGTATGTTCGCTTAGCGAGAACGGGAGTGCTGAAGGGCTTCATAATCTTCTTGACGGCAACATTCTGGTTGGTAAGTTGGTCACGGGCGGAGCTGCGAGCGAAGAAGACGTGTCAGCCAGCACGGATAGATGGTCGCAACGAGCGCTCGTTGCGATGGATGGTATTTTCTCAGACTAACCAAACGAGACCGAAGGCTCCCATACCAACGGGTTGCAAGTCCGAGTACCTCGAGGTGATCTCAAAGGTAGTACCGAAAATTTGTGCTCTAACGAATTCGGCCATTTTCGTGTGATGGTCGATCTACCTGATCGAAGAGGATTGAATTTTCGGATTGAGCGGCTGGAGGGGGGAGGAAGAGAGAGAGAGAGGGAGACCGATCGAGGGGAAGGATGGAAATTGGTCGTCGTACGGCGGGGAGGATTAAAGAATGATGAGGGGTGGTGGAGTAAAAAGACGACAGCCGGGAGATCGACGGGTCAAGTTGTGCTTCTGCTGACGGTTCTGCTGTGATGAGCGAGAGACAGGCTCGATGATCAGCTCGAATTTGAACGAGGTGAGGGAATTCGAAGGAGAGGTTTTGCGGTATGTGAGGTGTGCGATGGGTAGCTTTCCGTCTGGTCTGGCGCGTGTATGGAAAGGCAACAAGAGAGCGGGAGTCGGCTGGATTTGAAAGAGATGCAGCGACGGCGGGGGAGCGAGCTCAAGGATTTGTTGCGCGCTGGAGGGGTGGCTGTTCGGCGGGGCGGTCCTGGTCTTAGGCCTGGTTCTGGGACGTGGATTCTTGGGCTGGGAGGAGAAGGTCGCTCGCTGGCTGGTCGTAGACGGTGGACTGTGGACTGTGGCCGTATGGGACGTGGGACGTGGGACGGTGGGCGTGGGATGTGTGGGCGTGAGGGCGTGGGAGTTGCAAAAAGGGCAGCGGGGTAGGTGGAAGCGTGGGCAGCGAGTGAGCGCACGTCTCTTTCTCCGTTTTGTCCTCCGCTGTCGTTGGGGGTACTTCGTACGTATGGCTGGACTGCCTTCAGGTACCTGCTGCTTCTGTGTCTCCTTCTCCTTTTGCTTCTGCCTTTGGGCCTTTTCTGGGATACTCAACGTGGTATGGGATCCGGAGCAACCTGAACAATGTGGCAACAGCATTAGCGAGACTTCTTTTCTTGCAGGGAAGCAAGCAGTACGCAGCACAGAGTACTGTAAATGGTAGCGAATGCAGCTAGGGGGCGACAGCAATAGCGGGACAAGAATCTGGTTTTTCTCCCCATCCTCCATGTTCTGTTCCCCCTCCTTCGTCATTCGCCGTTTTTGCCTATGCATATTCCGTTTTTTGCCCTTCCGGTGCTGTCGACTTTGGGTGCAAAGGGCGTCCAATTCCATAATTAACCATGCCGTAGACGGCGCAGGCGGTAGCATTATAGTACAAGAACGGGGGAACTTTCGGTGCAAGGGGGAAGTATGATGATGAGGAACAGTAGGGGATGTTCAAAATATTCCCCGGGCAATGACATGCAGGCTATTGGGAGGCTTGCTCACTTACAGAGATGAAGATCTCGGCGATGCTCTTTTTCTATCTTTTGAAGTATTTCCCTCTTCTTTTTGTCTATCCAAAGCGGTTCGCGTTCTCTCTCTTTTTTTTATTTTTATTTTTCTCTGAGTCTCTTCGGGATCAAGTCCGGGCACGAAAGCTCAAACCGAATGGTGGCCGCGGTGATGGGCGCACGAGTGGCGGGCGCACGTGGGGAATGCAGGTAGCAAATCCGCACAAGTGTCGATCAGGTCGTCGTTCTCGTCTCTCGTTCGCTGCTACGGTGAAGCTGAGGATGCCGCTGGAGGGTGGATGCACAACAACACCTGTCGATAGATGGAGGCAAGGACGCGTATGAGACTTTCGGGGAGTGGCTCTCCTTAAGAAACCTTTGGACGTGAATGTGAGCTTTGGGGGTAAGAGACAGATATATACTCAGAATTGATTCGGGCGAGAAATGCGAGGAAGGGAAGAGGCAAGCAATACATAAGAGCAATACTGAAGGGGGAAAGGACTTTTCAATACTTCCTACAAGGCGCGACTGAGTGAGTGGGAGAGGATAGCTACCTGGCGTAGGAAAGACATAGGGGAGAGGGGTGTGCACAATTCGGCCAGAAGACGGAGAGACAATGGCTGGCTCTGGAAGTAACATTGAACCCAGCGTCAAAGACGGAAGAGCTTGCACGGTAAGCGTCGGAGTGAAGACAAGACAGGGATGTCTGTACCTTGCTCTACCCCCGGCGCTATTTTCCTGTCCAATGATATATCAAGGCAGGCGGGTTACGGATGAATGTTACTGGCGGGAAGGGGTGTTTCTCTGTTGAACCGAGAACTTGCAGGCGTTAACGGTGCCTTCCATGTACAAGGCGGGCACAGTGGATGGGAAGGCCCGGGCAAGGTCAGGTAATAAGCAGGCTACATAAGTATGTGTACAGACTACAGAAGGTCTAACTGGACAGAAGGACAGGTTAGATGGGGACGGCAACTATGCCAGGTACTAAGGTAAGGTACTGAAATATGCACAATTACCAGACTAACCAACAAGTCACAGGTGACCAAGTAAAAAGGAGTTGACCAAGACTGAGATGAGACGACGGCAACGGCGACAACAACCACGGAGAGGAGCATAATGTCCGGGATGACTCGTGAGTTCATACACCAGAAGCAGAGAGACTTACTTTCCGATTCGATCTCGTAGGTTCGAGGAGAAACAAGTCAAGATGAGGCTGAACTTATGACTGTGTGATGTTGCGTATGTTGTCTCTTACCGCGAGCCTCGGTCTTTGTGGATCGCTGTTTTGGGAGCGGCTGGTAATAACATGAGACGACGGGAGTATTGCTGCGAGATATCTGAAAAATGACCGAGAGACAACACCAAAGGTTGACCTGTCACAAAAGGGGCTTCATGGAATGGCCTGAGCATCAGCGGCACCGCCAATTTCACTTTCAGCTCACCACGGGCCGAGCTTGGGAATCCCTCCTTCCATAGTACGGTGCCGTGGAAAACAAGATCTTGTTCAACGCGCAACTCAGACAAGATGGACAGGAGAAGACGTTTCTAGGTAGCTCCGTTTTTTGATAATGATGAATTTAGACAAGGCACCGCTCCAGCCGGTCGCAGGTCACATAACTTTTCAATCCCAAGACCGGACGGCATGGTCTGGCTTGTTTTATCCTAGCGGCAGGGCAGTTGCGAGATAGCAAATCAAAACGTTCGTTGGACAACTGGTCGGTGAACCCGCGGCAGGGAAGGCAACGGTGAAGTATCAGCATGAAGTTCTAGTGTACCTTACCACCTTGAGGTACGGATGCGCAATCGTGGAATATCTGGGAACGTCCAGCAATAACAGATCGACGATGATGGTCTTGGCCTGCCCGCCGTGCCTGCCTTGAAGTTGCCACTGCGACTGCGATAACACAACTGGCAGCTACTAGTTCGTGGTTCCTTCCCTGACGGTCCAATCTTCATCCTCACCTTCCCGCGCCCCTTGCGGGAGCATAGGACACCCATGAGCAGTCAGAAGGCACGCCAACGGGAGATTGCCCACCTGTCTTGCCAAAATGCCATGTTTTTCTCAAAGGCACTTCTGCCGTTTCCCGTCCAAATCGCTCAATTGCCGTTTTGCTCCTCCCTTCATCCAAACACCACGGGGAATTTTACCATCGAACATCGAGAAACCCCAGCCTCAAGATACGGTGAACCTCAAACGGTTCCAATTAGGGTAGCCCCCAACTTCTCTTCCATTTTTCTACTGGCACCCCTACCTCAGTTACAGTATTCTCCTCCCCCGTTCCCCATCAATCATGCCCTTGCACCAAGCACGACCAAGCACCTTGCACCACCGGTCGATGCAAATGTCGAATTACCAGCATCATGGATTCAAGACACCATACCTCCTTCTCACGGAGGCTCGAACTCTGTCGCAGGAGCATAATCCTCAGGTGCACATCCAATTCCCATGCCAGATCAGATTTGCCATCCGCAACGCGATACTTCCGCCGCTTGTGCATGCGCGCACATGTGCAATCTGGTATAATCATTCATCCCGCATACTTCTAGCATCATCCTCCCTTGACCAACCTCGACAGTGGATTCCTTAGCGGCCTGATCCGATAAGCTATGTATTCGTATCTGATATCGAGATGCATATAGAGGAGCCCAGGCTACATCGCGGCGAACGCATCCATCCGAAAGCTCTTCCTTCCACTGCACTACTCCGTACGGCACCCAGGTGCCAGGCGCATCAGAGGGGCTAGGTGTGAAAACCACCACGAAAAGCACCCCCAACCTCTGACGTCATTTTGAGATCGCATCGAGATGGTGCTGGGGTATGGAAACCTTCCTGTGTCGTGTCGCGTTGGCGGGCTGGGGAGGGGTGTGTCTGTGATCCGTCCCGCTAATCCAAACTCCAGAGACCACAAGTACAGCCGCCCCTGCTCTCCCCGTCGAGGCCATCCTGTCAGCTTAGCGTGCAATGGAATACTAGCCGCTCACTGTCCGAGTTTCTAGCGCCCCGAAACGTCGACGACTTCCCTAAGCACTAACACGTTTGCCGTACCTTTCGCACCGTCTTGCAGGGAGCAGGAGACTACCCCGGCAATAACGCTATTCGATCCATGGTTCCAGTCCCTCCCAGTCTCCTCCCTCACCCAACATCGACTTCGCAGGCGAAGATCGAGAATCGAGAAAACGGTCCGTCACACAGCTCACCCAGCGCACATAACACGCCCCTCCTTATCCTCCCCAGCGGTATAGAATCCGTGTGACCGCCGCAAAGCAACTGCGGTAGCCCAAAATTCCCGTCACGGGGCTTCCCCGACTACAGTAGCCGCATGTTCTAGACTGGCCTGAACATGCCCAATTCAGCGCATTACCTGCTGTAGCTGGACAAACGTCCGGCCGCATTGATTGGGCTCCGAGGGAGAGAATACGGTATGGATCCCATCAAGCCCTTTTGCGGCACGGGAACGGGTAACACCTCTCTGCATAACTTTTCCTCTCCATATTCTCGATACAAACGACGCTGAAAAACAATGAATGAGTCTAAGCCCTTTTCGAGTTGATTGTGGTACCAGATCTCGATTCACCACCATTGGGATGGAATTGTCAATGACAATCTGGGATGCTCGACAAGAACCGGTTTTGACATGCTTGTACCAAGTCATGCGCTCGATCTCCAGACTGTCCCGGCGATTGAGATAACGGAACCACATTCGCAATTCATCGCCCACAGCGTGCACCCACCAGACGCGACACGTGGATTTACAATATTCGGCTACCATTCTCGGCCAGCTCAGGTACAGATGCATAGCGGCGACATTGGTTTGCTTGTGTGGTTGCAGAGTGGACACCTTCGAGTCAACAATTACCTTTCGGATCCGTCATGATGGAGTAAGATCATGACAAGCAGCACCATCCCACCCGGGACTCAGAAGCTTCCCAGGAACTCTGAGGGTGACATGCGTACAACTTTTGGCATATTGTGCCCTGGCTTCGCTGTGATGGATCTCGAATTGGACCCATCCTGCCGGGAACCTCCAGGGGTCAACCTGTGTGTAATCCGTTTGGTGATGCTAATCCGAGCCGCAGAGAAGAAGAAAACGGCGCGGTGCAGCGCGAGGCGGGAGAATGTACGAAAAGGACCCTCCAACTCTGTCCCTACCTCATGCAGCCAGCAGGTGTACCAGAAAAGGATGAAATGGTGGGAACACGAGCACACACGGTCCAAGGACCCTTCATCCTCTGGACCCTGAACTCGTTCATGTGTATCGAAGATCATCCCGTTCATTTGGACCTGTCAACACGCTGATTCGTCAAACTATTCCAAACGACGCTTCTGTTCCGTGATCTAGAGAAGCATTCACCACCAGGGCAAGCTCACGAGCCGGCGTTGCGGCCGATGTTGTCTAAGCTCCCGGCCGGTGCGAAACTAGCGCTAAAGGCCATGAGGTTCCTCCATTAACCACATACTCAAGGTGGCCGGCCGTCTGACGATTCTCTTCCGAGACCAGAATCAGTGCATGCCAACAACATGACCCCTTTGCACGAATCGTTTCCTCAACATGAGAATGCGGCCCTGAAGCCAAAATCACATTCCGCACGCGTATTGCTCTGCCGAAGGCCATGGCTCTGCTCTCGGCGTACCATGGTTTACCCGCCAGCGTGTTCCTTTACTCGGCGAGATGAACAGTCTCTTCGATGCCGGCCGGTTCATACCGTTTTGACAGATGGATAAAGGGGGGGAATGCCGGAATCAGGGACCTAACAAGGGCCAGCATTCGTACCTCTCGTTCCTCTGATGTCATTAGGCACCTCTCCTCCAGTCTTTGCTCTCCCAGGCTCCAGCAGGGCTGGCTTTGAGTTGGTCCCTTGGTACACCACCAAAAAAAAAAAAAAAAAAAAAGAGTAGCAGCAAAGGAAAAGCAGGGTCTCGACTTTTCCCACATTCGCAAAGATGACGACAGCATTCAACCCAATATAAACCTGACCTCCTTCCCCGGAGGTTGTCCCCCGGACCAATCTCACTCGCTGCCGACATGCCGTAACGGATCGGTGTTGTCTTACGCCCCATACGGAGACGTACACCGGCAGGCGGTCGGCCAACCCAAATGCACACACCCTTTTTTTTCTTTCTTTCTTCGAATACACGCACATACAGCACGCAGCCAAATTGTCTTCTTTAAACTTGTTTCCATTGTTTCGCACAGAGCACGCAAGGAAACTTGTACGCAAACTGCTTACTCGCCGCCTGCTCATCAGCCCGCGGGGTGCCGAACCAAGCAAGTCTGGAAGACTCTGCACAAGTGCTTCGGGTTCGGATTGGCACAATTGGGGACACAGGAAGCCCCTTCCAAAGTTCCAGAACACTTTTTTTTTGCTGATCAGCGATGAGTGTCCGGGAAGGATGAAAAGTTGACTCTAGATCCCTCTCCCCCCTCCCTCCCTCTAGGTATGATCCTTGACCGCCATTTTCTCGCGGACGCGGAGTCGCGTCCTTTTGCCGGAAGCTTGGAAGTAGTACCCGGAATCGATCCGTCCCAGAGAAAGGTACCCCTTGGAGCAATGGACAGAGCGAGGGGTCCTGCCTGGCCTGTCGTCCTTTTCCTCTTTCCCCTTGGTCACTGTGGACGACGTCCACATTGCCGCATAGTGACGTCAGTGAAGCAAAACAGGCGCCCCATTGTTTCCGCTTCCCTTGTCGAAACGTTCACGTTGCAATTGCCCTTGTCACCCTGCTCCGTTTCCAACAATGGTCGCCGTTCGAGGCCGTTCCAAAAAACAATAACCATTTGCTGCTACCTTGAATGCTGAGTCATCTGGAAAAATAAGACAACACGCATGCTCACTTCACACCCAGTCCACACATTACTGAGCATGGTTTCAATCGTTGCGGACACCAGTCTTGGGGCATTCTCATAAAAACTATACAAAAGAAAGATATTATCTAGCACTGTTCCTTATAAGCCCCGCCTTCTGCAAGAGTTTCGTGTGCAATAGTGCCATAGGTACTCGGTTCCGTACACGCCTGCCCAGCCATCCCCCCTCTAGGTCACTTCACGCCGTCTGGGTCTTGTCTTTGTAGCGCTTTAGTCTAGTCTACCTAGTCCTCGACCTTAAGAGGCTCGACATTCCAGATCTCCTCGGCATACTCGTTGATGCAGCGATCACTGCTGAAGAAGCCCATACGAGCTACACTGGTAATGGACTTTGTGATCCACTCTTCTTGGTTCTTGTACGCCTCATCGACAAGGTGGTGCGTCTCAATGTAGCTGTTGAAGTCGTCTGATACCAAGTAGTAGTCTCCGTGGTCACGGACGGCCGAGACTAGCGCGTGGAAATCAGACACGGAGCCGAATCTGCCACTGTCAATGGCAGAGAAGACCTTTGCAAGGTTCTCATCAATCGAGTGGGTTCCGTAGTTGTGCGCGTGGCGGAGATCTTCCACATCCTCGGCAAGGTTGCCAAAGAGGAAAATGTTGTTCTCGCCAATCTCACGGGTGATCTCAATCTAGGCTAGTGTTAGAAACGATCGTCCAGCCAGTTCCATCCCCTCGGGTTCACTTACGTTGGCGCCGTCGCACGTGCCGATAATCAAGCCGCCATTGAGAACAAACTTCATGTTACTCGTACCAGATGCCCTGCATAACACGTTAGCCAGGACGCCGTAGGCGTTGATGACAGTGGTTCACTTACTCAGTACCGGCAGTGGAGATGTGCTCGCTCAGGTCAGACGCGGGAATGATCATCTCTGCCTTGCTGACATTGTAGTCCTCCAGGTAGATAACCTTGAGCAGGTCGCCGATTTCCTCGTCATTGTTGACTACTGAACCAACACTGTTGACCAAGTGAATGATTTGCTTGGCCATCCAGTAGCCAGGTGCCGCCTTTCCTCCAAAGATGGAAACACGGGGAGCAACCTTCTTCCGGTCCTCCGGCGACATGGCCTTGAGGGAAAGGTAGCGGTGGATGACACCAAAGATGTTGAGCTGCTGACGCTTGTACTCGTGGATACGCTTGACTTGTACGTCAAAAAGCGCCGCAGGGTTGACGCTGACGCCTGTTGTGGTCTTGATGTACTTAGCGAGGCGGACCTTGTTGGCGTACTTGATCTCGGCCCACTCCTTGCGGAACTCCTTGTCGTTGACGCTGAGCTCAAGCTGGTTCAACTTTGTCAGGTCCTTCAGGAAGTCGTAGTTGCCACCAGTCTTGGACGCAATGAGGTCAGACAGGCGAGGGTTGGCCTGGTGCAACCAACGTCTCGGGGTAATGCCGTTGGTGACGTTGGTGAACTTGTCAGGGCCATAGATGTTGACAAAGTCCTTGAAAATTGTTGTTTTGATGAGATCAGAGTGCAGCTCAGCTACACCGTTGACCTTGTGGGAACCGACAATTGCCAGGTACGCCATGCGCACCATCTTGGGCTGCGACTCTTCTATGATCGAGACCCTGCTGAGGATTTCGCGGTCGTTGGGGAACATCTTCTCGACGCTCTGAAGGAAGAAGAGGTTGATGTCGTAGATAATCTGCAAGTGTCTAGGGAGCAAGTGCTGGACCAAACCGACGGGCCACTTCTCCAGAGCCTCGGGCAAGACTGTGTGGTTGGTGTAGCCAAAGGTGGCAGTGACAATGTTCCATGCCTCATCCCACTCAAGCTTCTCCAGATCAATCAGGATGCGCTGAAGCTCAACAATCGCCAAAGTAGGGTGAGTGTCGTTCAGCTGGATGGCGACCTGATCGGGAAACTCTCTCCAGGGGCGCTTGGACTTCTTGAAGCGACGAACGATGTCGTAAAGAGAGGCAGCACACCAGAAGTACTGCTGCTTCAGACGAAGCTCCTTTCCACGTTCAAGGTTGTCGTTGGGGTACAGAACCGCGCTGATCGTCTCGGCGCGCTGCTGGTCGGCAACTGAGCTCTCGTACTCACCATTGTTGAACTTTTGGAAATCGAACTCTCCGCTAGCAGCCTTACTGGACCACAAACGCAGGTTGTTGGTCGAAGGGGTAGCGTATCCCGGGATGGGGACGTCGTATGCCACGGCGGTGACCGTCTCACCACCCTCCCAGCTGGCGATGGTCTTGCCGTTTGAGTCTGTCGACTTTGTGACGTGGCCGAAGAATTGGATCTTGAGGATGGTCAGCAGTCGTTCGAAACCAATTTCACTCTACATTACTCACATCGACAGTAACATCGTGACGGGGGAACTCCCAGGGGTTGAAGTCAAGCCAGTAGTCGGGCACCTCAACTTGGTAACCATCGATAATCTCCTGCTTGAAGATACCGTATCTGTATCTCAAGCCATAGCCCCAGGCAGGGAAGTTGAGAGACGCAAGACTGTCGAGGAAGCAAGCAGCCAAACGACCCAGGCCACCGTTTCCAAGAGCAGCGTCATGCTCCTGCTCGATCACGTCCTCGATGCGGAAACCAAGGTCATCAAGACCAGCTGTGCCACAACATTAGCATCACATAGTCCAAACATGACTCGGTGCTTCCTTGTAACTCACCCTTGGCAACGTCCTTCAAGCCAACGTTCAACATGGCATTGTCGAGGGCACGGCCCATAAGGAACTCGAGAGAGAAGTAGTAGACACGCTTTCCGTCCACAGTAGTCTGGCGCTGCTGAGTCTTGTTCCACTGCTTGACCAGACGGTCACGGAAGGCCAAACTGGCGGCGGAGTAGGCCGCCGTCTCGTCGCAGTTGAACATGCTGCGAGCCAAAGTGGTCTCGACGTGGCGAACGACCTCCTTTTCGAACTCATCCTTTGTCTTGAAAGGGCCGCCTTGGGCTTTGGACCAAGCCTCGCGCTGAGGCTCGGGGATGGAAGCTGTTCAGAGGCCATTAGCTTGTGATCCGATGTTGGCATTGCATTTGGTTGTAACATTGGTGCAAGTGAGGATGCGTAGCAGGGGAAAACGAAGCTACTGGACCCTAGTGTGGCGTGATGGAGCTCGCGACGATCAGTGCGGGGTACTTGGGCCCGGGCTGAGTAGCTGCCCCTCCAAGCTCCACGAGAGCTGCGCGAGAGCTCGCTCGCCCACATCTTTCGGAAGCTGGCAAGCACATGGCGTCTGCCCCCCCCCCCCCCCCTCCCCCGGAAGTCATGCAATTGAATGGAGAAAAGAGAAGAAACTCACCCTCAACGCTCTTGATCTCTCCAGCACCGAAACCGGTGAAAGTTCTCTTGTGCTTGGGGCGCGAAATGCCGGCCGGGCCGACAGAGCCCTGGATATCAACAATGGGGGCGCTCGTCGAGGGGCGACGCTCCCGCACAGGGAGGCGCTCTTCCGTAGCTGCCGACATTTTGAGTAGCTGTCGTACGATGGAATAAAGTGGTGGTGAACTGGGGAGTCAATTGGCTCGATCAAGTCCTCGAACTGGCCTAGGGAACTGTCAAAACACGTTCAGTTAGCTATGCTAGAGAACCCCTCCCTCGGAGAATACGAGGAACAAGAATGCGGAAATCGAAACATCACTCGGTCGTACGTGACGGGCGAGAAACGAGGGGGAGGCGACGGAGGATCAGGAGGAGGTCCAGACTGTTTTGACGGGCGGAGCGAACGGGACGTACAGGACAGGCCCAGGATGTTAGTGGGGAGAAGAGCGGGGTGTTTGGCGGTGCCTGAAGCTCAGTCCACACCACTCGCGGCCGGGATTCGTACTCAGCTCAACGCGAACGAAGCGTCTCGGCTGAAAGGTTGGCAAAGCTGGCGGACGAGCTTTGCTGAAGGACCGAAGGTTCAATAGCGTTCTCGAGGTGAGGTTGTCTGCAAAGGGGCCGTCGGAGACGATGTAGGAGATGCTGATAGCTCTACGATGCCAAAGAAGCTTGGTAGAGGCGAGGTTACCAATGGATGATGGGAGACCTCCTACAAGGTGCACTGGGAGCTTTGCGAGTTGGAAGAAGAGAGGGGAAGATGGGGGAGGAGGGGTTCAGTAGAAGGAGAGGTCAAAAGGTCAAGAAGAGGAGGAGGGGGATGGTGGGACACTTATCAAGAGGAAGAGAGAGAGAGACGGGCAAGTCGAGGTGAGGTAGGTACGGAGCATCTCTATTAAGGTAGCTACTTCCCCTCGGGCATGGCATGCAACGGACGACCGTACCCGATGGACAAAGGGCAAGGAGAAGTAGGAGCAGAAGCAGCTCCCCCATTCGTTGTGCAAAGTACCTGCCTACCTGCTGTGCAGTGCAGGGTGGGTAGGGAGGTAGCAACATGCCTAGGCAAGGAGGTAAAGGCAGTCAGTCAGTCCCAATGGATTGCTGAGGTTGGCAATTGCTACTTGCTACCTGCCTTCTTACATGGCGATGGAGACGGGAGGTATGGAACACGGGGCCTGGGGCATGGGCAGTGAGAGTGGCATGGTCTGGTTGCTATATGCGGACAGAATGTAATGTGTTGGTACACGCATGAGGTGCTTTCAGGTATTTTCCTGATCTTCTTGCCCAGAATGCGCCAGTTTCTCGCTGAAGGTACCGAGCCAACAAATGTGGCACTGTCTTCCCAGAAGTGCCAGACAGATCCAGCATTGTTCCAAGGTCCACGGTCTGAGAGTTGAGGTCTAGAGAGGCCAGACTACTTTTTTTATTGGGGCTGATCTGACAACCCGCACACACCAGTGAAGACGCGATGGACCTCTGGAGCTATTGAGCCCCATTTTCCCTGTCCGGTTCCCCATCCGTCAGCATGTTTGGGTTTATGCTGGGCCACCCCCCTGGTCTGTTTCTAGACCGGGTGCCATGGGACAGCGAGAATCCTAAGGAGATGGATAATTCACTGCCAGGGGAAGAAAGAAACCACCTGATATGACCTCATCTTGCGGCATTGCAAAAGGTTGGCGAGAAACCTCAAAGCAGTAGCCAGTCGACAGCAGGCGAAGCTGGACAGGAATCATTCATTGGATGGGCCGTAGCTCGTTTTTTGGTGCCTCGAGCTAAGGTATCCGAACTGCTGCGATTCAATGCGGGGTGACTTGTGTGACGCACGGTGAGTGGGCAAGCGCAACCCCAACAACGGTTTATACAATGTCGCAGACCTTGGCTTACTTCTCGAGCCTACCTAACTATCCGTGATGTTAAAGCTTAGGCTCGGAAGTTAAAAGTAATTGGGAATAGGGTAGCTCTTCCGATCTTCTCCATGGAAGGTCTGTGTTGTCGAGGGCCCAGCACATCATGATGCTGCTGATGAGACGGAAGGGAAACGGCCAACCAACCCATCCCATCCCACTGCGGTGAAGAGAAGATGTCGGTCAGGACGCGGTGAAGACTCCATTGCCCAATTGATGTGGCGTATTACTACCGATACCTTAGCGACCTATCAGGAACCTCATCAAGCTTATGCAGCCCCAAAGACACCATTTGGTGCGACTGCGGCAGCCGCCGGTCTAGTGATGCTGCGGTGCATCAGAAAAGCAATGGGCGGCAGACTAACACCAAAATACCTACCTTACCTTACACCTGGTGAACGTGGGGAAGGTGACCTAAGGCAAGGTAGGACCAGCGTCCCCCGGAATGTTCATCCCAGACCGATACATGTCGTGCCTTGTGCCTCCCTCCATGTCTTGGTATCACCATTCATTACTCCATCACTTTTTCTCGACGATTTGACTCCAAGGAAAGAGAAGGTCGCAGCCACAGGGAGGGGAGTCCACCAGATACAAAACAAGGCAGGACGAGATATCAGGATCTGAGAGTATGGTCAGATTGTGACGGGACCAACCAAACCGCAACCCCCGAAATAGGCAATCCGAAAAGGAGGGAAAGAAGGTTCAAGGGGACCCAGTAAAAGATGCATCCACACCAAATTGCGCACTTCTGCTGAAATACACCTTACCTGAGTCTGAGTCTGCTCTCAGCTCTCACGATGATACCTTGTGCCGCTGACTCAACCACTCACTCATTTTACCTACCTATGTAGATACTCACCACAAGCTGAAAACCGTCCCAAGCCTGCCGGAAACCGCATCGTGCAAATAAGCATATCCCAATTCCTCCAATGCCCAAGGGATGGCAGAATTTTTTCCGACCATCTTTGACACCAACTGTCCCTCCAGCAACCAACGTTCTTCTCGTTGCCCACGGCATGCCGGCATCCGTTACCTTGACGCTTCCCGCCATTCCAGCTGCAAGTCGCCTCCCGGGTGCGGATGGGCGGAGTGCGGGACATACGAAGAATGCCAGCACCCCGGTAACGCCGTAAGCTCGCCCACGGCTGTCCGGCCTACGAATGTATCTCCTGCTCCTTCACACGTTGCTTAACGGGACGGCGTAGGTCTCCGTAGATTTTGATCTTTTTTTCCCATTTGGCCTTAGTGAGGGAAACATGGTGATTCACCAACCCCCAGCCGACTCCCCCTCATTAGGTACTCTCCGAGTTCCACAACAAGAGGACTCCTTCTTGACACCGGCGCCAACTTCATCGCCCGGGGCAGATAGATAGATAGCTTTACAGTTGGATCATGAACAATGACGGGGGAAGAGGATGAGAACCTCTCCGCCCTCGCCGAACATCCCGTTTGCGACTCTCTCTCTCCAGCTCCGCCCCACCGCTTCCTTCCTTTTTTCCTTACCTAGGCAGTATCCGTACTCCATACTCCGTATGTTCCTCGGGTGGGTTTGTTCTTCAGCTGCATTCTTCAAAAGTCTGATAAACAACCCCCCCAACCTCTTCGAATACGGGCCATGTCTCCATCAACATGCATCAGACAGCTCTCTTCCCCCCCTCCGCGCCCCACCCCCCCCCCCCCCTCCCCCCTTTGTACCTCGGTGGGTTTTTTCTTCTCCCCTCCTTTTTCAAAAATTATAAAACACCCCCCCCCCCCCCTTTCACAAGGGGCCCCCTCCCCCCCACCCCCCACCACCCCCCCCCCCCCCCCCCCCCCCCCCCCCCCCCACCTTTCCTGTCGTCCAACGGAACCAAGACATCAAAAGCGAGCACGACATGATTGGGACTGACACACTACCTTCCTTACCTTGGATGCTTAGGTACTAAGACTTGGGCCAGCTCACTCACCTCCCTAGTCGGAATGCAATGTAATAGGTAATCTATCATCCTGCCAAATTCCCATCAACCCCGGAAAAGAAAAAGTCCACAGCAAAAAGCATTACGACCTGATATTCCTAGTCCCTACCCACACAGCACAACATCTTTCTCTCTCTCTCTCTCTCTCTCTCTCTCTCATTATCTAATCCTTGACTATCAAGGCCCACTGAAGATAGCACAGATTTACGGATCACCTCCTGATATCATATTCGGTTTTGGTAGCTATCATAGCCCAACACCCCTGGCCCCCCCCCCCCCGCCCTCCCCCCCCCCCCCCCCCCATCCTCTAGCATCACCGCCCCCCCAAAAAAACAGCAATTTATCTACCCCCCCCCCATTATATTTTTTTTTTTGTTGTTTTTCTCCCCCCCCCCCCCCCCGCCCCCCCCCCCCCCCCCCCCCCACAAGGCTTCAATGCCAAATCTCACCACATCAAACAAAGTCAGCCATAGCGAAACAAATAAAGTGAGAATAAAAGATGCGGCCGCTTCCAGCAGCGCACACACAGCCTTGCGTTGATTAAGACGATATAGTGTACAAGTAACGGAAAAAGAAAAGAACATCATCTGCCGCGATCGCGAAGCCTCAAGCCAGCGTTTTGCGGGGTTTTTCTTCTTCTCTTTCTCATGAGATCCATCTCCCTCATCCTCGCTGTTGTTTCCCACGACCAACCCCCTTCTCTATCCATACTAGGAATCTGGAATGAGCTCTTTGAACATCCATGAGTTGCGTAAACACAGCGTACTGGCACGTTCCTGGCACACGAATGGTTCGCATATAGAGATGTGCTTCATTTAGCTGTCGCAACTCTCTCCAGCTATCAATCAGGCCCATACGCTACCGCTTCCAACGGGGTAGATGCTGTCGCTTTCCCAAGTTTCGAGCATCATCCCAAAACAGAGACAAAAGAAAACGAACGGCCAATTCATCACATCATCTTTGAATTTCCCGTTTCCCATACCATACTCCAACCCATGGCGTGCTTTTCGTCCCAGAAACGCTTTCACATGGGCATCTCTTCCACCACAGTAACCCGGTGTATCTCGCGTAGGCGGGCAGCAACCGGTTGCAAATGTCCATCTTCAAGCGATTGGTTCCGTGATGCAAATGGAAAAGGAATTGTCGTGCCGTGCTGTTCTCAAGTCGAGGCACTAACCGACGATTCGCTCGCACCCGTGTCGTATCGCAAGCGAGCGTGTAAACCAGAGTGAACGCCGTCCAAACGAGGTGCCGCCCACAACGCCCGGCAATGCTATAAAACGCTGACCCGCAACAGAGGAGATGAACCTAAACATTAAGGAAAATTTGTAGCCGAGGCGACTGGCGGTTTATAGGATGCCAGAGTCCCTAAGAGCGTTGTTGAGGATCGTCTCCTTGACGGCCGCAAACACCAATCGGATGTTGGATGTGTCGGTTGCTTGAGTCAGGCTACAGTTGGATTAGCCCCCGCCCACCGAAACAATGACGCTTTCACTTACTGGGGATACAGGTTGAGGTGTGCTCGGTTGACCTGGTTGAACCTCCAGAGGAGATACTTGGCTGCCTTGTTGACGTCGTTACCGCCCGAGTAGTCTGGGAAGTAATTGCCCAGTGGTGAACGTCCAAGCTTCTGCTTGAAGATATCCACCTTATTCAGGAACAGAATAATACTGGTGCGCATAAACCACCTCGAGTTCACCACCGAGTCAAACAACAGTAGACTTTCCATCATTCGGTTCTGCGGTCGTTAGCGCAAAGTATTGAGGGGGGGGATATGGCTTCGAGGGATACCTGACTGCTCTCCTCCAGCAAAACTTGGTCGTACTCGCTAAGGGCAACGCAGAAGATAATTGAAGTGACATTTTCGAAGCAGTGAATCCACTTCTTTCTTTCGCTTCTTTGACCGCCAACATCGAACATGCTGCAGAAATCGTCAGTAATTGTGAGGTACGCGCACAGTCAATCACAAAGCCTCACTGTATGCTGAGTTGGCCCATCTGAAATCTTGTCTCGTAGATACCAGTTGTCTTCGTTCTGGCTCTGAGAACATCCATTTCGTTCGGGAGGTAGTCTGGTGCTACGATCCGCATGACCTCTTGGAAGAAGCTGATGACATCTCGTTAGCACTTCTTGCACTGGCATGCTACATCCAATTGGGTACACTTACTATTCTGCAGAATCCATCAAGTAGAACTCAGTCTGCCTCTCCATGAGCTGTTCCCTCGCGGGATCGCTCCATATTGACTGGATGGCGATTCCAATCTGGGGATCGATATGTGCTTGGGGGCCAGATTCGGCTGTGTATTCCATAAGGAAGGTGGCATACGCCTTGTTCTCTTCGATTACCGGTTCGATATCGAATTGTCGCATAGCCTGGATCACCGCTTTTGCGCATTCCACCAGGTTCTTGAACACGGTGGGGCGGTAGTTATACAGTTCATCTTCGGAGTAGCCTTTCAGATGGATAATCTTCATCTGCTTCACTATCGTGGATTTACCACTTTCTCCGGATCCTGCATGGTTGTCAGCAAGCTAGGTCCATCTCAAGATCCTGTAGGAATGGACTCTGGTATCAAAACCTACCGAGGAGAAGAATCTTGCATTCCCGGCGTAACCTCTTCGAGTCCTCTTCCAGCTGTCGATCGATTGCCTGACTCTTCTTTTTCTGTTCCACCTCCTCGTTGTTTGAGCTCATACAGGCACCCATTTTTGAAAGAGGCCGGGGCTTCGGTTGAGCCGCTGATGGGAGTAATGATGGGATTTGGGTGCGTTAAATGTTCGAGTGCAGGGCTCAAGGAGCCTTCGAAATGATTTAACCGCGCGTGAGATCCCGAATGGATGCACGTTAAATGCCCATAGTAGTATCAGATAAGGCTGACGAGGTGAGAATTAATGGCGAGACTGAGATGGATCGCAGGGCGTTGTCGTCGATTGGTAGTGATGATCGTTCGGTCGGCGGAGGACTCGGCGGTAACGTAGGCGTTTCGGATCAAAAGGCTTCGAGAGAGGACGCAGCGACGGCTAGGATCGAAAGCGAGAGCGGTAAGTTGTTATGATTGTTTTTCGGACGGACTGAGGATGGACGGATGATGAGCGACGACCCTGAAGATCGGGGATGGGCGGGAGCTGTCGAGGGAGATGGGTAGCGAAGGACGGAAGACGAGAGTGCGACCGGGAAGGCGGGCAAGGACAGTGTCGGAGGAATAAATGTGGGTATCACCAGGACCTCGACAGGCGGGCGGGTAAGTGCAATTGAGTACGGGCCCAAGCTAAGGTAAGCACCGATGTACCTTTGGTACCGAGAGCGACACCTTTGGGTACCTTTGGGAGTACCTTGGCAGCGAAGGAGCGTGCTGTGTGAGAGGTGCCCCCGGGTGGGTGGGTATAAGGTATGGCAATATGGGGAGGAGGCCTGGAGACCTGAGCCTTGTAAGACTGAGATCAGAGAGAGACGGTAGTTTGGGAATGGAAGGTGATGACAGCAACGTAGACCGTAGACAGCCTGGGTGTGACAAGAAAGCGCGTTCGGCCCAGGGAATCAATCAATGAGAGAAGAGATCAGGCCGTACTGGCGGTTCGGATCTGATCTGTCAAGTGACGAAGGGGAGTGAACTGTGAGGGAGATCGGAAAAAGAAAAGCTGGACGGAAGACTGGAAACTGAGTTGGAGGGGAGGCGAGGGCCAGTGAGGAGAGCAGGTGTGGGTAAAAGGAAAAGGAATTCTGTTGTGCGGGAAAGTGTAAAGTTGATGCTAGTGGCGGGCAGGCTGGACTCGTGGAGTTGCGAGAAGCAGCGGTCTCGATGACCAGGTACCTCTGCACTGGAATTTACGGATACGGATACCTCTGCCGCTACCTCTGACCTCACGATGTACTTAAGGCACTGACTGCAAGAAGTGAGAGTGAGAGGACCGGAGCCAGAGAGAGACGGGGAGAAATGGGCGAGGCAAGGCACACACACGCACACACACGTCCCCCAATCCCATACGCAGTCAGCTCAGACAATCAGACCTGGGATCCATTCAGCCCAGACACCAACCACCCGCCCTCCCTTCCCGTCGGGGTCCCTCGATCCTCAGTGCTCACTCCTCAGGTGCGGCATGGGTGACAGGGACACGTTCCCAGCGCAGACTTACGGAGTAGGTGAGTGGTGCAGCAGGCCCTAGCAAAGTTGGCAAGGCAAGGCCAGGGCGGCGGGGCGCGGGTGCGCGTGTGGTGTATGGATCGGGATACCTAGGTACCTCAAGGATATATGGGCCATGTCTCTTGTGCTGTGAGTGAGTGTGTCTGTACGAATATGAACGTGGGAGAGAGGATAGAGAGATTGTATGTGTGTGTGTGTGTGTGTGTATGTGTGTGGACGGGGCGGACTCGGCCTATGCCATCCGCGGACAGCTTCTTCAATTGACCTGGACAGGTCTTGGCCTGCTGGAGGGGGAACAGGCCGAGCAGGGAGTTGCCGGGAGAGGTATGCAGTGCTGATGGTGTATAGACAGAGACGTGCGAGGTTGCGGCGTGTGGCGGGAGGAGAACAGACAGGTACGGATGTACCTAAGGCAATGTAGTTAGGTACATAGTTGCCCACGTCCTTTGCTCGGCTTTTTGAAGCACAGTTGAACGCCAGTTGACTGCTTCTGAGCGGATGTATTTGAGGTGAATGGAGGCATCTGCCACTTGTGACTTGATGGTGGACGGGATGTTTGGGACTAGCACATGGCACAGGTTGAACAAGCTTGACAACCTTCGGGTGCAAGGCATGAGCTGCTGATGATGGGCCAGGGCTTCGAGGTTCGGGGAGTTGAGGGTGATAAGAAACACCTTGCTCGAACGGCAGGCGTAAATATCTCGAGTGGCTTATCATCGTGAGAACAAGGCAGGTTATCACGCCTGTGGAGTGTGGACAAGTTCTCGAGAGTTGACACGGGCTTTCCTTCAATCTACCTCATAAGGCAGGTGAAGTAAGCTAATCTTAGGTAAGCATGAGAAGATACTTGGCAAGTGGTTGAGGCAGGTACCTAGGGACTTGCAGTCTCAGGTTGCTGCTATTGGGGCAAGAGCAGAGCAGAGGAAAGAGCGGGTAGGAGCTCTCCTTCTCGACTTGAGTACTCCGTAACAGCCTAGGTATTACTGGCGGTAGCACTAAGGACAGACCAGCGGGCAGCTCCACTCGTTTTAGTCTCTTCCCTCTGCCGCATGCATGGCATTTAAATCACTTTCATTGGGCGCACACCCTGGTTGACCCCGGTCAAGTCAAGCTCTCACAGATATTCACGGCTCACGGTACGTACCGATTTCTCATCTCTCCAGGCATTTCGGGATATTTTCTGCTCCTTGTTGTTCTTGCCAATCCCGGCTGAACTGGCGCTTGTTCTCATCCCTTTTGATCAATTGTGATTATTTGACATCTCCCCCAGGCGGCCCCCGATCGTGCGTAATATGTGAGGCAGCCGGGCTTAGCAGTAATGGGGTCATTGGGGAGGGCCTAAGGTTTATACGACATAGAATAAGGCATCAGGCAATCGGAGACTTGGAAGAAAATGATGAAGCAATTGGAAATTGGAAATTTGAGCAAGGGGCAGCTTGTCCATCTAAGCTGAGGCACGGCATGGCATACGCTATTACCAGGAGTACCTACTCCGTACGGATACAGATATAGCAAAAGGCAAAGTGCAAAGTTTAATGGGCCATGCTCCTGGCCTCAACCTTTTTTGAATCAAGGTCCACGTGCGTGCCTCTCATCCCACCACGTCTTGGTCTTGGTCTTGGTCTGCACTTGGGCTTTGCAGTAGGTACCAGGCACTCTGCAAATCGAGCCTGCACCAAGTGTCCGTCCATCCGACAACGCGAGTCCATCAGACAAGGTTCCGCCTCTGAGAAGGGCATCCTCGTTCCGCAATACAACAGAAAAATTTCATCCTCAAATCAAATTGCTGTCACCCTTACCGCCCCATGGTTCGCACTTGCAATGGAACACCTCATGCTTTCAGGCGGCTCCCGAATCTTCTGCTACTGCCTCAGTGCCTATGGACCGAAGGAGAAGGTATTGCCCTCTCTTCTCACTTTCCCATTCCCGCCCGACCCGATCGGTATCTGCACCCGGATGTAGTCTCCTGCCACAATCCAGATTACCGGAACCTGCACTTTCTTTGCCTTACTTTGTGTGTCCGTCAACTAGTGAGGTAGGCACCATTGTAGATCACACGTCTTGAATCCTGCTGCATTCTTCTCTCGAGCTCAGAATTCTCTTGTGTTGACTATCCCCGTGCTCTTTTTTTTCCAATGGTTCAGTCTGCCCCGAACAATTAATATTTATTTCTCTCCGGATGACTTCCGCTCGCTCTTTCTCTCTCACTCTCTCTCTCCACACCATTCCCCAACAGAAGCGGGAGATGCTATAAGCTTCAAAGTACGGACGGATACGGATCTTGATATTGTCTAGACCTTCCTTATATGTTCTTGGGCCCTGAGAAATTCGGCCCATCCTGGAAAGTCACGCAGGATTCAGCCGCGCCCGGCAACGCGTCTCCGCATCCGGCAGCCCCAGACGCTGTCGACGAGCGAGCGCCGTCTTTTGCAGACTGAACGGAAGAGGGGGCTAGGCGATGGAACAAGTGTTTCAGTCATCACTCCCGAGTAATGACCCTCCACCGCCCCCAGTCTGATCCCGACCCGCGTGCCCGCCAACATTTCGATAAGTTGGTTTGTCGATAGAACATCCCTTCGCTGCACCATTGGACAATTGATATTGGATGAAGTTACCGCTTCACTACAAAAACAAACAGGGAACAGTCCCACCCGCAAGTTCGCAACATGCGATGCAAATGCCGACTTTTTCTTGGCGAACCCCGGCATGAAGCTTCACGGCTCAGCAATGATCGATCTCCTTCTTTCTGGCTGCAACGAATCCTCAAGCCTCAACCTGAGGGGGGCTAAGAGCAAATGACCGCCATCAATGACGAGCCAAGTGGCATTCAGTCATTTAATCCCGAAGCTACAGTTTGAGCAGAAAAGACGGATAACCTCTACCCGCCGACTAGGCGTCTGTGGCGTGAGTCCGGGCTTCTTTTTTGCCAGTTGACTGTGCAGATCTACCCATCCAGCATCGGCTGGCTTGCCATGTACGGGTTGATCCTCAACTACATACCAACTGCTTCGGTCACCGCCCCGCATCACACCGAGGAATGCAACCCATCTCGCTCACGAGTCACAAATGTACATAGGCGAGGCGGAACCTGGAAGCTGCACGCGGCCAGAACGTCGGCGATGCTACGGTTACGATGCGCTTGCGAGCGCAAATACAACAGGTCACAAACCTTCTGTCATCGTTTGACCGGTTTCCCGTCTAGTTGCCCTGCGGACTACTGGCCACGTTCCAACGTCGCAGTGTTCCACCATGCCAGGACTCGGCAACTCAATTGCTCGACAAGCCATAGACCTCACCCCCTCGATCCTCCCAAACGACTTTCAAAGAGACGGTTTTCCGGCCCTAACTGTCTGCTGTTACACGGTGCCCAGACTCTCCTCATGAAGCACTGGGGCAGGGGTATAGGAATAGCACGGCAATTGACCATATCCAAGTCGGACGCACAGAATTCGGACCACGAAAACCTTATACACGCTTTGGGCACTTTCGTCGCTGCTCGAATTCCAGCCTGGCTGCAGCCCCATCCTGGCTCTTGGCGCTTCTCACCTCAATATGAGGCTGCACCTTCGCCTTGGAAGTTGGAGGCCATCAAGCCGCAGGTCACCATTTGTGCCTCAATCCCACATGATGAGGCTACCAGCTACCGGTTGTACGAGGTTGCACGAGAAGTTCTAAGTTGGGACCCTCTGAACTACGCCAATGTCTGATCCTCTTTCTCTCAACGCCAGTCTAGTCCCTTGACAGAGGAAAGGGTTTTAATACCGACATAAGCTTAATGGCCGACTACGCTCCTGTGTCGTGACGGCATTCCACATTTCACGGCAACTCTGCCGTATGAGTTCTCCAGGCTGTTTTCGTGTCAAGCCCGACCAAATACCTCTCAAGCGTTGCAGGGGCATCGGCCGCTTGCCTTGATGACAGGACAACCCTGGTCTCACTCACGCTTTCGTCAGAAAATCGACCCTGATTGGGCTCAAGATGAGTATCCTCTGAGCGCCTTGCCCAATCGGCTAGCGTCAATGGCCTGGCGGTTCACAGGCCCTTTGGAACAGATATTAGCAGGGAGCACACGTGGGAGAAGGAGGCATCAAGTCTCATCTTCTCTGACCAGTTTGAAGGGCCAGACACACAGACATGGGTCATTCACCAAACAACCAAACGGTCCGGCTCGCCATTGAGCACCTGTGTGATTGATGCTCAACAGTGAGTAGACCTTGCTTTCACAATTTCGAGGTCGTCGGATCTTAAGTGCGAGGCCAGAGCTACTTCCAGCTATTCCACGTGCGTCGTTGCTCTCGGCCGGCCAGGGCAGTAATTCTCAAGCGCCGTAATCATATTTGAAAACGGATTCGGGGGCGCGCGCCATGCCATTGAGGCGGCACGACTGAAGGGCTGTCTGATAAGATCTTCATCCGAGCAAGCCTTACACCTGAATACTTTCGTCAGCGATATGTATACTCTCATCAGAATCCCCTGCCAGACTTTCTTATCAGCTTTCTGAAGCAGACAAGGCCCGATGCACGTCGACTTAGGTGGACGCCGTGCCTTTCGCCGGCGCATGTCCAGCTTTCATGCCTCTGCTCGGCGCTCAGCCGGCTGGTCTGCTGTTTTAGCCAGGCACGTCAGCCCGGGATGCAGGACATTCTCCGATGAAGTTTTTCAAAGTCCGACTTGGCGACAACGGCCCACTCTTTGACCGGCAACTTATACAAACCTCTCAACAGCAGCTGGGAAATGGACCCCAAACGTGGCCAATTGAAATTGGCAATGCGGTCGAGGTGTTCGTTCTGGCTCCATGGGCAATGGAAACGGCCGAAGATGAATAATGCTGTACCCAAAATCGCCATATACACCTCGACGATATCGTTAGAAAGACCTGTTTCATGATATCCGGGACCAGTATGTTCTCCAAACAGGGGCATTCTCGGCTTCTGGAAGCTGCGTCGAAATGTTTACTAGCATCTTAACAAAAGTGTATGGGTGGTGAGTTGATCGGATAGTGCCCTCGGTCGTCTTAGGGTCGACCCTTCAAAAGCTTCCCGGTGTTGGCCAACGTCTAACATCCGGACTCCGACGGACAACAGGTCTGGTTGTTCTGGAATATCTTCAGCCAAGCCGGCAAGTTCAGGCGAATGGCCTTCCCGACTTCATTGGCAACGTGTCCCACACGTTAAACAGTCGAAAAAAGGGTGTGCTGGGCTTTTCCGTGGGTGTCCTGATTGTTTCACGTCATCTCATGAGGAGCCCCCTATATCCCTGAGTAATGTTTTTTGCCCACATCACGGAGTTCTGACTCTGTTTTTTTGTTTTATTTCATTCTGATCGCATTCTGCCGTTGAGGAGTCGAGAAACTTTTTTGTTCTATTCAGGTGATGAGATCTTTTTTCAACTCTGGGACGAACGGAGGACCGCAAGGCGCATGATTGGCTGCCCCTCAGGTTTTGGGCCGTTGTGTTCTCACGAGCTGACACACCAGGCTGCCCACAGGCAATGACACCTTCAAATCTGATAATCAAAACGCGCTTTCCTG